TATATAATGAATTAAGCATGTAAAATAAATCTGTTAAGAGGTTCTGAGTTATAGGTCACAGGAATAATTTCATACCCAATTTTATGAATACATATGTAAATGACAGGCACGTAGCAACCGGGGGGGGGGGGGGGGGGGGGGGGGGGGGGGCTTGGGGGGGCTGCCCCCTTTTCCCAACATTACCTGTACTATAAGAAAATGTCCATTAAAAAGATGGTTGCCCCCTCCCCCCACTTTTAACCACAGTATATACATTCCAAGGAAATATGGGAAAAATTGGAAGTGAAAGTAATTTTGCCTTGAAAAAAAAAGTGGCCACCACCCCCCCACCCCCACCCCCCCATTTCATTTTTTTTCCTTGTTAATTGTTTTAGGTTAGTAAAAAAAATTTCTAGGTTGCCCCCCCCCCACTTTCAAAAACGATGCTACGTGCCTGAATTATATAGAATTATTTTGACTTTTTCCTTGGTAAGCCGCCCGTAGGATTGTGTATTTAGAAGCAAACACCTTAGTGCGGGTATTACTGTCTCATGACAGCATCTAGTTAAGACTTTGTGGGGAAAATATGCGTGGTTGAATTTCTTTCATATCATACAGAAAGAGAGATTCTGTATCCTAGAACAAAGTATCAAAGTTTCGGAAAAATGGAATTTAAGGGAAAATCTAGCCTATCTATTGTGTTTTACCTAAGTCTCTTGACGTCAATTTGACAGCAATTAGACAAAAGTTGTTGTAGAAATACCCTTTTGAGAGTATTTCAAATTTCTAAAAATAGTAAACATAGCAACACCATGTGCTTATACTAAAAAGAGATGCGACTGTATATTGGTAATGTTTACTGGCATTTGTAAGAAAGGTTTTTTTTTAAATCGAAGAAAAAAGGTAAGATATGTAGCATTTTGCAAAGAATTCTACATGTATGAAATCTCTGTTTTGGTAGCCCTCTTGCAACGTTGTTTATCAGTATCATAAACTGATTTAAAGAATATTAAACTTAGTGTGCATCGGCAATTACCTGTACTTAAGTCCCTCTGAAATCCAAGCAACAATTAAGGCAAGTATGCTTTGAACGAATTTCATTCAGCGTTTAAGTGAAGTGAACCTTTTGTTGAAATATCTAATTGTAATAGAATTATCATTAAAAGGTAATGTTTTGATAAAAAGAAGTCATTTCCTTCATTAAAAGTAACCATGGCAACGCTTTTCATAAAAACATCATAAAAAACAAGATGTGTTTGTGAAACACTAAGTTCCCGGCGGCAACAAAGTTCAAAAAATCTATTTTTAGCATATTGGTCACAGTCAAGGTCACAAGGTCATTGGCCTTGGTGTCATTCGAAAGAACTTAGTGGGTGGAGTATGCACACCAAATATGAAGTCCTTATCTCCTATTGTTCAAAAGTTATGGCAAAGAGTGTAAAAAGCTATTTTTAGCATATAGGTCACAGTCAAGGTCACAAGATTATTGACCTTATCAACGTTTGAAAGGACTTTATTAGTTGAGTAAGTATACTTAATATGAAGTCTCTATCTCCTTTGGTTCAAAAGTTATGACAAACAGTGGAAAAAGCTATTTTTAGCATATAGGTCACAGTCAAGGTCACAAGGTCATTCACCTTGATGTCATTTGAAAGGACTTTATTGGTGGAGTATGCATACTAAATATGAAGTCTCTATCTTGTATGGTTCAAAAGTTATGGTGAAGGTTAAAGTTGACAACAGACAGAGAGACAAACAGACAAACAGATAAACAACAGACAAACAGACAGGACAAAAACAATATACGCCCGGGATCCATCGATCCGGGCGCATAAAAACGTATCTCAGTATTTTGTACTTTTAAACACTTATTTAAAAAAAATTCAAATTGAAATCAGAATAAGACGGAAGGAGAAAAAATTCACTGATATTTGTATTTTTAGCTACACTTGAAACAGATTTTAACAGAGAAGCAGGGTTATGGATATTTTTAAAGTGTATTTATTTTTAGCCAGTTATTTGGATTTCAGACTAAAACTGCAAAAAAGGTTTTTATAAGCTATGTTTATTTTAAAAGATTTTTAATTCTAGTCACTATGTATCACGGTTCAGTAAATTTAAAAAAAAATGAACAAATTTGTGTATCTTATTAGATTTTATGCAAACGTAGTAATATTAACATTGCACCAATTATGTTGGCGTATAATTTTGATCTAAAGAATAGTTTACAGGCCGTAAGACAGCTAGACAGACGGCGTACATCCTATTACATAATCTCTTCTGACCTCTGCTTTTTGAAAAAAAAGAAATAGAACTAACGTTCTGGGACGTAAAACTAATGTTTAGGGACGTAAAACAATATGCAGCTAAACAATCAATTGATCTTCTTAAAATGACATCAAATAAATGTTTTTCCCTTTATAATGATAGATACTGTTTAAATCAGTAAAATACTTAAAACTGGTCTTACAATGTTACCTTTGTAAAAAATAAAATGAGCATTTGGATCCTTTATCAATATATTCAGATAACTACTGTAAATCAGAAAATTTTCGCTGTAGATAATTTTTTAACAAATTTGCGAGTTCATTGCATTCGCAAAAATATTTTTCCCAAAAATAAATTACCAATAACAAACAAAAACAAAGCAGTGATCAATCGCAAAATTTTGAAGCCTAAAAAATTATTCAACAGCATTTTGACCCAAATTCGCAAAATAAAATGGACGTTAAAATTTCCAGATTTACGGAATTAAATTTCCTCAAGCCTCCATGAACGCACTTTATACGATTATTTACACAAACATAAATATAAACAAAGAAATGTCATTTTTTGTTGAAGCGGAGTAATAGTTGCAATATTACCTGACTAAAAATATCTAGTTAGAAATATTAATTAATTTTTTCAGGAGATGTTTGCATTGTTAATTCCATTTACACACGGAATAAAGAAAGCATTTAAAAATATTTTATACAAACCTCTTAAAGAAGAGTCCTCATCCAGTTCAAACATATCTTCATGAACCTCAAGTCCAACAGTAGAGCGCACCTTCAGTAATTCCTCTAATCCTAGCTTTTCAAGTCGTTTGAGAAGGGTGGTTTTCCCAGCACCTGCGCATCCAACAATCATCGCACGAGCTCTGTGTACTGTCTTTGTTCCCCTTTTAGCACATTCTATGTATCTACATCGTGCGTCATATTCCCAGTCAAATATTTCCTCCGGTACGTTAACTTTGAATTAAAATAGTTACAGTTATTGATTCACTTTTATATGCTTAGTTGGATAATAATTAGTTATCGTTTTTCTTTTTGGTAAGCTGAACTTTAAATTAATCATATATTATAATCCTTAAAAGGGCTAAGAAAAATGTTTCCCCTACAAAATATGAAAATTTATTCTCAGTTGCAGTGTTACTCACATTTGTCTTTCACTTTTTCTCTGAATGTTTTTGTTGTCTCTTCATCACATTCCTCAAAACGGTTTATCATGGGGTGACGTAGGACGTCTAATCCAAGTCTTTGAAAGAATGAATCCTCCAAAGTCTCCGGAAGGAACAGACATTTCTTGAGTTCTATGTATACCATATACCACCACGGCCGTACGTACTCCAACAAAGAGTCCACTGATGACAGTTTGATATAATTCTTGTAGTCCTCATCAGTTATCAGACAATTCCTCACAAAGTAACTCATTACTTGATGGCGGACATCATCTGATATAAAACTGACTGAGTTGTTTTCCTTATTCAATACTTTAGAGATATCTTTCAATTCAGTGATATCACTGTCTAATGTTTTTGAATCACACTTTAATAACGGGAACGCACTTTGAAGTTTTTTTGATATTTCTTCCCATGTTGTACTTAAGGATAAACTGTAACTCTCTGATATCAGAATAGAAACGAGAATGCTCTTTTTTGTCTGAGAAAGTGCGAGAATTTCAGGTACTGAAATAAAAATATCTTATCAAAGCACATGTATTTTATACTTATTGTCCAAAGCTTTCGCAAAAGCGAGGGAGGGGACTTTAAATCTCATTCGTCTGTCTGTCTGTGAGTCCGTCTGTCGTCCCTTACAAAAAAAAACTTTAACCTTGCCCATAACCTCGATTAAGTGAAGCTATGACTTTCATGTTTCACAATTGTACTGTGACAAAGCCTTCTTTGGGTATCAACAAATTTGACTTTTTACCTTGACCTTGGAATTCGATCCTTTTTTACACAAAAAATGAAGATTTTTTGTTTCGTCATAAAATTGGAAGGTAGATATATTGCCTTTTATATTTCACATATGTAATTTTTGTGGCAAGACCTTTCATTGGATATCAACAATTTGGACCTTTTGTCCTTGACTATTGATATATCTATACTTATGAGACTGATTTTCTTGTGGTAGTCTAGATTATTAAATATTCAGATAGTGGTTTTCGGCGGTTGGAAGCACAGTGAGGATTACATAAGGAAAGCTTTCTAAATATAACTTAGAAGAACTGTAAGGGGGGATGCCAAAGAACAAACCCAAATACATCAAAGTTTTAGAGATATGCATGAGATATATAATCCATCATTTTGAAATAAACTTTTTCATTTTACGAAAGCAATGAAAATGTATCCGTATTTCAAAGGTAGTACCAATGAACTTAGGTACTGGGATAATCCAATTCGTTACCTCTTGATTTTATCAAAACTTTATGAACTTAGGGGTTCTATGGTTTTAATTATAAATCAACTGCAGTCAGGAATGCAACTCATTTTTTAATTTATATTTGCTACTAAACAATCCTTCTAAAAATAAATTTAAAAAACGTTCGAAACACAATAGCTATCAACAAATCAAATATTTTACGGTCAAATAAGGGAATAGTTTTCATCATTGCATGAATGCAATGTATATATATATTACATTTGCAGATAATTATCTTTTAAGTTCTTGAAAATATGAAAAACTTGTCATAAATTAAAAGAAATATCGCAACAATAAATTGATATACATATATAAGCTGTTGTTGTAAATTGTAATCGCCAAAGCAGTGTGAAATAAAAGACATATTTGGAGTGCAATACAATAATGCAAAACAGAGTCACTTCATAAATAATTTTTTTTTTGGTAAAAAGAATGGTAAGAAATTACTTCTTTTTTCATTTAGATTTAAAGAATTGATTTAAATGAACAACAATTTTCATCATGGGGAAATTTATTCCTTCTTAAACTTTAAACTTTTCAAACCAGAATCGAAAAAAATAATGTACAATAACACTCAAAAAAGTTTTGTCACATGCACAAAAGGAGAAAGTCAATCAAGGTTTAGATTTAATCATTTATTTTAGTAATACTTCTTGGAAGCATAAATAACTACAATTTCTCGTGATTATGTATTTTAGAAGGTCTTTTTGGATGTGGTCATATTTATTTTTTTTTCAAATGAAGTTTTACTAATACAAATTCTTCAAGTTTTTATCAAATTGTATATTCTATTACCACATTTGGAATTTTGACATAACATGTGTTATATGATGATATAATGGAAAAAAAACGGAATAAGTTCTCGAATTCTTTTGAAAAAATTATGTTAACTTTGGTGGTCTTTATTTTTTCATTCTTTCACTTGCATCCCCGTACTTGTACATAAGTTCGTTCTATGTATATTATGGGATGTAGCAATGCATGTATGTTTCGCAGGCTCATATTGCCAAATAAAAAATATGTACTTTCTATATGTGAGTATAGTGGTGAAGGATAACATTATAATTACAAAACCGTCGCCCCACGCATTATTGTACATGTAAACCTGTTAACATTTGTTAAGTTTTGTCAATGTTATTAATGTGTTAATAACAAAGACATTTCAAATCTGCATATTCCATGAGTCTCTCTGTACTACAAACCCTGATTTTCTCTGTATACAATGAAATGACCATTTTTTACACACGGAGTGAAAAATATCTTCAATCTGAGTGACATTGTATGAATTTTGATCATTTTAAAAATCAATAATTTTGAACTACAATGAAGTAGCTAGAAAGAAAAGATTTGCATTCTATCAATGTGGACTGGGAAAAGGAAATTAACTCAATGTTAAATATTGAATAAAATTTAGAGGAAAAATGACAAGAACCTATCTCTACATGTACCTTTATCACACTCTCTTTATCTTGGAATAAGGAAATTTGTTTGCGAAAAAATACTCTCGTCCTACAGTCCCTGAAACGTTAGATACTTTCCTACCTGAACGGTAAAGAACGCAGAGCGAACGGTGACTAAACGATGTGCGAACGCTGAACGCAACTTGGTGAACGATGTGTGAACGGTGAACGCAGAACGCGAACGGAGCGCGAACGTGAGCGCAAAGTGAACGGTGAACGCAAGATGAACGATTTATTCGGAATGCGTCCGATCTTTTCCTTGCTTTGAAATTATTCTTTAATTCTAATTACAGGTGCTTTAATATAAAGACAGAGTAGATAGATAAATAAATAAATAATAAAAACATTTTTTTCTGTACATACCCGGTATATGCCCCTATGAATTAAATCGATAGTTTTATAACAGGGTTTTAATTGCCGTAAAACATGTGTGTTTGTTACATGTACCGAACGCGTGTAGTTTAAATATAAAATTAATCTACTTATATTGTAAATATACTCTTTCTTTTAACTAATAAAATAATGTGGACTTTAGAAGATAAAACAACTACTTATAGAATGAATTAATTACATTGTGCGCGGTTGAATCAACTATACATGTATTTCCGTGCCAAGGCGACTCCGAGTAAAGTTCACAGGAAGTGCACAAAGTCACGTGTTTGTCCTGTCAATCAATATCATTCGACATGGTGGAGGTGTGGAAATCACGTTTCACCGAACAAAATTGCCGAAGGCAGTCACTTAGTTTTTCCAAGAAGTTTTTAATTATTTTAGTTATCAATTTAATAAACTCTCTAGATATTTAATTAAGTGAATATTTGCAGCCTACGTGTATTTAAAATATGTGTTACTGTAGAAATAATTTTTTTTATGTATTCTTGTCTTGAAAAAGACTTGGATTAATTATTATACATCCATTAATGATTTATCGTCTCTAACATTACAATAAATTGTTGCCATGCGTAATGCATTTGTACAGTGCCCTTTTTTAAATTTAATATTTTAGCATCGTTCTACATACATGTACAATGTAGGTACTTAATGTATTATTTTCCAGGGAAATTTCATGAATAAAGTTAGAGCTGAATTATAATAATAGAAATATAAATATCATAAATAATTTTTGCAATGAAATAATTATTCTTCAAACACGATGTCTAAATTACTTAATTAATAAACGTGTAAATCCTTACAATCCAAAACATAAGCCCTTTAACTTCGGAGTTCCGAATAACAATGAAGACTGAACGATAAGTGAACGGTGAACGCAAGGTAAACGGAACGAAGAGCGAACGGCAAACGGTGAACGCGAGCGCACGGTGAACTGTGAACGCAAAACTGTGAACGAAGAGCGAACGGTGAACGCACGCTGAACGAACGGTGAACGAACGCTGAACGAACGATGAGCGAACGGAAAAATGGGAAAGTAGAACGTTTCAGGGACTGTAGGTGTAATTTACTAACACAACTGATTAAACGCTGTCTTACCCTCAGAGCTGTATTTCTTTCTTCCAATTAAAAACGATCCGAGGAGACTGTTAAGATTCAAAGACTGTATGGAAGCTTGTTTTTCTTCTGAGACTTTCTTCACATATTCCACAAATATTTTCCGATTCATCACGCGAAACACAACAGATGGAAGTTTAACTGAAATAAATGATTCTTTTTATTGATTGTATGATATTACTTATTTTACGGCTGTGGCTGATCAGTGAGTTCTACGCACAATTATTTAATTATCAACGAAAAATCTTTATTGATTTAAGATTTAAGTCATTTTTTAAAGAAGGGGACTCAATAAAGATTATTCTAAAAAGATATTTATTCGGCGCCCAGTGCGAAGCATTGATGTGAGATTGCATGTTGAAACTTTAAATAATGTTATTTTCATTTACTTGATAAATTGAATAAATAATTTCATCAATTCAATAGAATCATTCGGAGATTTAACCCCTTCCCTACCTCATTGGTCAATGTCACGATAACAGGACCTCCGTATCATTTTAATTATAGCATGAATGTGTATAATCTATATATCTATAATATAATCTATAATCTATATATATGTATAATCACTGTTTTCTCAATATGGAATACTGTGTTGACTGATCAATAAAATATTTTTGTTCGATCACAGGAGTCGGCAGTTTTATCAATAAACCAGTGAAAACATAACCTATGAGCTTCGCGAGCGTAGCGAGCGAAGCGACAGGAATGCAACGCGTTTTTGGTGATTTTTTCTTTGCCGCTTTATTTAGTCAAAATAACAAATGCATGCGACTTAATTCATGTCAGTTGATGTGTCCCACCTGATTTCTGTTGCATTCCCCTTCTTAATCACCGTTATTTGCCCTAATTTCCAACATAAACAGCATTTCGAAAAGAATCAGCCGCCATGAGGGTTTTCCCGTGACGTCAGTTGAAATGAGTTTGGATTCCCCTACATTTAAACACTTAAAAATTGGGTAAAATGTTCAATCCTTGAATTATTTGTGTTTTTAATATTTTTAAAGGAATAATATACCAAAACGTATTTTTAAAATGAAGTAAAACTTACTTAAGTCAATGAACACATTTTGAATATATCGTGACGTCACGGGAAAAACCCTCATGGCGGCTGATTCTTTTCGAAATGTTGTTTATGTCAGATTTTAGGGTCAATATCGGCGATTAAGAGGGGGACTGCAGCAGAAATCAGGTGGTACACATCAATTGACATGAATTGAGTCGATGCATTTGCTAGAGCAGAAATCGCCAAAAACGCGTTGCATTCCTGTCGCTACGCTCGCGAAGCTCATAGGTTATGTTTACATTGGTTTATTGATAAAACTGCCGACTCCTGTGGTTCGATGAACTCCGACCCACATTTTTACATGATGGGTAAGTAGGTTGTTAATTTTGAGGTGGTTTATCCTGCTGAAAAATTTATAACTGTCATAAAAATCACATATTTCTTAACAGTGTACATTTGATAGCTACACAAATTTAATGTTATAAAAACATTCAGACAGAAAGCATTCTTTAGAAATTATACATCTTTGCTTTAAAATGAACCAATTTTAGGTAATTTCAAATCGAAAATAGAAATTAAAGTGCTGAAAAGAGTATTGGGTAGGGCCAATTTTGACGGGTTGTACATCAAACAAATCAATTTTTAAATTGTTGGCCTGAGCATCCAAACCTTGCTTTGTGAGGATGGGTTCAAATAAGTTCGACTTCCTTTTTTGTTGTTTTTGAAGTGGGTAAGTTTTCATGACTACTTCTAAGCACCATTCAAAGAAAAATGAAACTTGACATAATTAAAAATAAGACAAACACATATTTCTTTAGCATGCGTAGTGTGCTTGTACAAAAGGCTTCAGAACTTTCATTTGTGAAGACCCGCTTGCTAATTGCACCAATGACCACCATGCACATAAAAGATTATGATGTGGAGGACATATGTGCTTAGTTATTCGTAAGTCAATTTTATTGCATTCAAAAAATCCTCATTGTCACTTAATGGCTATTAGTCAACATCCCAGGTACATGAGTAGCACAATGGTTAGAGCCTCTGCTCTACAGTCATGAAGTAAGGAGTTGATCCTTACATAGCAGGTCCAAATCTTACTATGAGACGTTGAGACCTGTCCTTCTGATGAGACACTATAAAAATATCTTATCTATTACTTATATATATCAATGTATTACATTTAACGTGTATGATATATTTGTCGGAGATTCAATTTTTAACAGGTAAGCGTAGATTTGATTAAGCGCAGTCTGAATGTCCTAGGTATGAAAGTTAACATACAAGACATTTAGTGACGGTCTTGAATTGAGGAAGTCTGCTTTCGGCCAAAATCGCTAAATAGAATACACCGTTAAATGTAATACGTTTACAGTAAACCAATTAAGGTCCCTTGTCGCAGTAGATGCTGGCATGAAAAAAATGCCTCACAGCTCAATAGCCGTTAGTGCTAAGTATGGAACAAAAGGGGGAGTTTCTGCGGCCCATCAAGAAATTTTACAAAAATTTGATATTTTGTAAATAAACCTCTTATCTTTCAGAAAATACGAAAAAAATTATTACTACGCATTTTCCGGTCACGTGATACATGTGTACTTGAAAATTCAAGTATACCCCCTTTCCTTTATTTTTTTAATGGATCTTTTTGGTAGCGGAGGACTGAGTTTTAAAACTAAAAATATCACAGGAAACATTAGATTTTTTTAATTAAAGACAAAAAAATTATCAAATTTATGATTTTCTTACTGAATTTTTTTTTGTAATGACTGTGTGAATGCTTCATATATGGTATGAGTTTTTTTTTTTAATTTATTGAACAATATTTTTTGTTTAGAAAGTGGGGTTAACGTAAAGTATTCAATACAGAAGGTTGAAAATCAAATTAAATCGATACTTTGTTCAAATCTTTTTAAATTCTTGTAGAATAGGTCTTTTCCATATAGGGGAAAATACAAGTTAAAAGTGGACAAAGATAAATAGACCAGCGTCATCCCTATGGACAGAAATGCTGTATGATCTATCTGTAGACATGTGTTCCACTATATAAGATTTTGCTTGTTTATTTTGATAAAACCCTTGTGTAAGTGTTCGCAAATCATTCTCTGTTAAGCGAGGAAATTTATTAATACAATCCTGGGAAAGCTCACCCCAGATTGCTCGTTTACTGGAAAGGTTTTCTCTTTCAACCCTTTCTCGAAGTTCATTTGACTTTCTTGACAGTTGTTTCATTTCATTGGCAAGAGCAATATCATCATCACTGTTTGATATGAGAGGGGGTCGAAAAGCATTGACTATTGCACTAACAATTCTAACATAATCACCTATCCATTTTACCTGGGTGTTTGGAACTACTTGGTCCAGTGCTTTCCATGTTTTGATTCTGCCGTTTGCCGACTCTACAACCCATCTGACCTTCGTAACACATCTAGAGTGGTTAGCCTCCTCTGTTGTGTGCTGCTTACATCTACGAGATAAATAACCAGGCATTTCATGTTTTATCCCCAGTTTATCAAAAAAATCCAACGAGTCACGAAATCCCCTATCGACAACTAATAAGTCCTCTTTCTCAATCGAGCTTTGAACTTCATCAACATTATTTAGGATAACACTGTTTAATATGGCAGAATCGTTATCCTTGCCATCAGCTAGGTATGGTCCAAGAACAAATAGGATATACCCGTCTGTTCCAACAACCATCATTGGTTTTACAAGAGGCCTATGCTTGTGACCACTGAACGTCTGTCTCTGAAAAGTTTAATTGCCACTTTTTTGGATGTAAATATATGTACCATCCAGTACAAGTATAGCAATGGGCTTTCCGTCTGCTAAAAGATGCTGAACAAAGGGCCTTGTGTGTCTGGATATAAACTCTTCTCTGGTCATTTGAGAGAATCCAAGAAACTCAGTCACAAAATTTTCCATTAAGGCGTCTCTAGCACTAGAAATAGCTTTGGAAATAATGCTTTTGTTTCCGATTTGAAACATGCTGCTTAGAATACTTAAAGAATTGCCCGTTCGTAATTTTGTCAGTAGCAGGGCAAGGCATGTTCTCGGTGCTCTGTTGCATGAAATTCTAAGAGGAGACATGTACTTAGAAAGAACATCAAATTGCGATTTTGTGACCCCAGTGAGATTGTAATAATCTTCGTCAGACAGAGACTGCGGATTTTCAAAGTCTATACCTACTGTTCGTTCAAGGCATTTTTCTCTTAAGGTAAGCAGCATAGTTGTAATTTCTGATCTGTTAAAGTTAGTGAAGTCAGAAGTTGGCGAAAGATTGTCTTATATATTGGGGTTAATTTTACCATCAATCATATGACGCTCACAACATCTACTACCCTCTGGGATAAGAACTCCCTTATCTACGAATGCCTTCATTTTGATTTCTTCAGTGATAGTTCTTAGGTTCTTAGTCTTTGAACAGAACTGACATTTCCGATGTTATAAACTGGCTCGGGGGATAGACAACCGTATTCGTTTAAGGCTTTGAAAGGATGGGTCGTTTCTGGGTACATTAGGATCTTCTTCTAAAATTGGATCTAATGCACTGCTAGACTCTGGGTTTTGTACCCTATAAAACTAAGTTCGACAGAAATTGCATATTACATCTGACTCTATGTTCATAGAAGAACCAGACCCTTGAAGTTTCTGTGAAATGTGATTGAGTAGACTTTGGTTATTCATATTCTTAATCTTTCTGCTATTCTTGCGAACAAATCTATGACAAAGACAACAAGTTTTAGATTTTGAATTATCCATATTTCGAGTTAGAGGTATTTGCCCACATTCAGGTCTGGGTTGCGTTCTCAACTAAGTCCCTCTCGCTTCCCAGCTCTCCATAGATACTCATCTTGCTTCAACAGCTCCATTCACACCTCATACAGAGAGTTTCAGTATGTCTACGACAAGATGGGTAACTGCAACTCCCTTGGGCTGACCATAAAGGAGGTTCCCCCTAGCATCTAGATTGCTAAACTAGAGCCGCGGTTCAAAATGCACGTGTAGACGCCAAAGATATGTGTTGGATCCTAAGTTCCGCGTAAAATATTCACTTCAACATCCAGACGTAAAACATTATATTTTCCCTGTTTCACCCACACGGAGGTATATATGGGCGCCTCTCTAGCAGGTTGGAGCGAGGAATTCCATTCTAAAGAAAGGCTTAAATAACTTTCTTCAGGCTATAACCATGAAACATAAGAAATGAATAAACTATGAGCGAAACAAAAAAACAACTTTGCAATCCCACGATCCTGTTTGATAGACAGGAATATCTAAATGATAAGGACTGTCTTTAAAACGATGCTTGTCAGGATTTTGAGCGAATAATAGTAATAATACAAATATTAAACATATTCAGAACCAAAAATGTTAAGTTTTAGAATGCACAATTATTTCCAAGATAATTTGAATAAGAACAAAAGTATTTTTTCCACCGTTGTATGACTTTAGAAAAAAGACGTAAATATCATAATATATAAGCGATGAATTTCGTATCAAAATATTGAAGAGATATGTTAAAGCTTTATGTCGTTTATATTTTTGAAAATCTGCATCAATGAAAACAGTATCTATCTCTTTTTGCTGATTATTTTAATACTTGATCAAATCAAGTGACCGAGTGCCTCTAAATTTAAATGTGCATTTTTGTGCAATTTTGATATTTTTTTATATGAAGTGCACACGCGATTATCAACAAATTTTAAGGCAATACTGTATATTGTATGTGTAGTTATTGTGCAAAATTTGGTGAGTGTCCCTCATGCACTTCATACTTTAAACATCGATTAATGAATGTCCCCCTCTCGTTTTTTTCCCATAGGCCTGATGTTAACGCGTTGAAGATACATCTAAATACGGCTTAACTGCGGCATTAATATATAACACCTCAACTTTTGAAATATATATAACAAAAGTTAACATATTTATCTTGAATTATAAACTGATTTTGAAAAAAATATTCAAATTTATTTTTATGAAAAAATGTGGGCCGCTGAGCGGCCTTATCGAAACTCCCCCTTTGCATCTGTTCACCGACAAGAGGTGATGTCTCCATATGTGAGAGAAATTCTTGAGATGGACATTTAATAACATACAAACAATCCCATGTACATGAACACCTTGTCCCAGGGATTTTTCTTTAAAGTAATTGTTTTCAGTCCAACATGCCCTTTTTCTTAACAACTCTGACAACAGAAACTAAAAATGGATATTTCATGTATTTGATAATACTAATGGTTAGTTGTACTATTTTTTAGAAATTATAATTGATTAACCATGTTTGTTAAGTACAAGGCAGGCAATTTTTTAGTCATAATACATTGACTTTACCAAACCATTTAACTAGTATGACAAAATATGACATATATAATATATATTATATGATATGCTTTATAAAGACTTTTTAACAATATTATAAAAGGAAAGTTATATCAATGTGTCAGTTGTAGATTTCTGTATAATCTGATTTATCTGATTAAAAAACATATTCGATAAGAAAAGTTTTTCAAAACTTTTTTTTAATTTGTTACAGGACAGAATGCATTTAGAAGCTGATCATGCCTTGGTCAAATCAAAGGAGTGCCCTTGTTGTTTAAGAGAGATGACAGAGAGATCATTCAACATGAAGATGATGTGCACATAATGTTATCTGGAATCTAAAGTTAGAGATAAAGACCTGCAAACCTACTAGCAAATAAGCCTATATGCTTGTTAATTATTCTTTTCCTGATAGTTGACTTTTTAGGCATGCTCTTTATTTCTATCAATGATGCAAGTGGTTATTCAAGATCATATTATGTGCTATAAGGAATCCTTGGCTACTGAAATTCAGTATTTGTGCGTCACATAAATTGGATGAGTGAAAGATTGTAGCAGAAGTTCTGTGCTTGTCCATTTTGCTGTTTTTTCATATGCTTATAAAATAAAGTTGTTTAAACAAGTAACCAAGTCAAGTCTTGAAAATGTAAAATAATTCTTGTAAGAAAAGAGGAAAGGTAAATGTTTTCTCATACAATATATTCTAGATACCAAAAAATGTGTTTGATTTAGTTTTTGAAAATGACAAAATAAGAACTCCATTGTATAATTAAAAGATATACTGGTTGCAATACATTTTTACCTTAATATGAGTTTAATAGTATGTTTCACTAAGATTGAAATACTTGAGAACATATGTTACAAATTTTTGTTCCAGTCTACTTAAGTCAGAGATATATTTTTTGAGTGACAACCAAGATGTGAAAACAAACAAACAAAACATAACTATTCAGACACTTTTGTGATGTCTCTGTTGATTTTGTTATTTACAATTTTATGTGTCAGTTATTGAAAAATAAGTTCATAATAATTGCAGTATTTTAAATTTGATATGTACCTACAGTTAAGACAGATTTCTGTACTGATATGACCTTCACCCCTAAAGAACAGAAATGTCAGGGTCAATACTTTGGACATTTTTTTTATGCTTTATATATTATTTTGACCTTACATCTTACATACGATACCATAAAACACCGTCTGGAATAAGAAATAAGAAACTTATAAAGCTGAAAAATGGAATTTTGTTGTTGCTTAGCAACCATTTAAAGGTCATTGAACATAAATTAAAAACAAATATGTGGATATTGCAATTCAGTATGCTGCCTACTGAGTGCATTCGGAATTTTCTTCTTAAGTATCCATTTTTACAAAATTTTAGCATGAAAAATGAAAACTTGTAGGAAATTTTTTTTGGAAAATTATGCACTTATTTGACCTTTGACCTTCAAAAAATGAATCTAATGAGGTCAAACTTTAAGACAATTATCTGATGTATATTCTTTTCAGTATCATTACCCAATGTATTGACTCTTAAATGTAATAGAATGCATAAATGTGTGTGGGTTCAAGAAATACTGCCTGAAAATTAAAAAATACTCCGTTGCTAAGCAACCTCTTTGAAGTCATTATTTGCAGAATTGATAAAAAAAAATGTGATTAATGTAGTATAAGATAATGCCCTTTGTGGGTTTATTCTGAGTTTTCTATTTCAATGTGGATCACTGTAAATTTTAAACTTGAAGATTTAAATGTGTCAAAAATGCAATAAAATTCGGCACTTATTTGACTTTTGACCTCTATTTTCACTAGCAAGGTCAGTAGTGATGTACGTGGGTATTTATGAAATATCATATTCAGAACATTCCCTACAAAATGGTATGCATTATGCCTAGAATACTCTTTGAATAAAAAAGTTATAAATTAATTTATAAGGATGTGTCAAAAAGTGTGCAAAAACGCTTAAAATGTGCCGATAGAGAAAGGGTTCATTAAGAACTTTTTTGGGGAATTTGAATCGAATTTGTTCGTCGGTTTGTAATTGTGTTTGTAATAGAAGAAACGTAATTGGCATCGGGATCGATGTCGAATATTGCGCTGATTTTTTGATTACCTCGTCGGCGAGGCTTGTTATTAAACCTCTTTTGTTCGAAATATCAAATGATTTTTGTTTGAATTGAACATATTTTATTGTAATATACATATACAATGGGACTGGGAACAAGTTCTCAAAACTTATTTCGTCCTCTCCCAACAATGGACAGTTTATAAAAGTTAAGCTAAATATTGACTGATTTATTATTTTTATTATTACATTATAGCAGTGTTACTCACACTTTTTTTGAACTGCCTCTCTGACTGTTTTAATTCTATCTTCAGTCGGATCATTCCACTTTACCATGTCATGTTGTAGGACGTCTAATCCAAGTCTTTGGATTAATAAATCCTCTAAACTCTCCGGTAGGAACAAAAGTTTTTTCGTGCATATGTAAAATTCATCATCATACCACCACGGTCGTACGTACTCCAACAGCGAGTCCACTGATGAGAACTTGATATAATTCTCGTAGTCCTCATCAATTATCAGACAATTCTTTATAAAGTAACTCATCACCTGATGGCGAACATCGTCTGATATAAAACTGACTGAGTTGTTCTTCTTGATTAAAACTTTATGAATATCAGTTAATTCAGTGATATCACTGTCCAACATTCTTGACCCACACCTTAATAAAGGGAAAAAACTTTGAACTTTCGTTAATAATTCCTCCCAATGTGAGCTTAAGGATAAACTGTAACCCTCTGGCATGAGAATAGAAACCAGAATGCTCCATTTTGTCCGAGAAAGTGCGAGATTATCCAATGCTGAAATAAAAATGGTTTATCATTATACATGACCGTATGTTAATTTGAAATGTACTTTTTCCAGAAACTTCTAAAATTAATATTTCTTGTATGCGTAGCTTATTTATTTTATGAATTCCAATGATCATTTGCAGACAAAGATACTGCAACATTCATTAAGTATCAATATAGATGGTTTCTTTTTTTTTTTGTCCTTCGAGATCGATTTCTGATCGTTTTTTTTTTAAGGTCTTCCGTTTCCAACGGAAGACCTTCTACTGATTGTGAAGATTAAGATTATTCTTATTATTCCTTTTTTTTTTCTTCCTAGACGCCAACTTTGAGGCCTCGTATCTCGCTCATTTTTTAATGGATTTTGTTCAAATTTTCAGACATTATAGACGGTAATAAACTCTATCAGAATGCTGTCAATAATTTCAAAAAGTCACTTCCGGTTTTGAGTTATTTCCCTTTAAACGAAAAATTATAGGCTTTCATTTCCAGACAAAGGCTCAGAGACCACTAGAGCTGGAGCAGAATTTTTACTGGTTTTAGATAACAGAAGGATTGAAGTTGTGCACATCGGTTTTTGTTTTTCGATTTCTCTATTCAAAATGGCGCAATACAGGGGTCAAAAAATAGAACGCCTAAAAGAGCGAAAATTTACACATGTTTTCCTTTTTATCTTGAAAACTAAAAATATTTTGTTAAGACATATTGAACAAAAGTTGTGCATAATTGCAAGGGCTTTCATTTAATACTATAGAAAAGGGGCTGGCCCCTAAAATAAGGGATCTCTGGAGCTTGAAAGTTTTTGCTTTATAACTCAAAAACGGTAAATATTTCGATCTAAATATTACGAGCAAACTTGTTCTTTAACACCCTTTTGATCTGATAGGAATGTTTATTTGTTCGAATATACCGGGGTTATTGCATAATATGCAGTCGAAAGCAGGTCAGGTAAACATGTAGCGTTTTCATTCGGCAAGTAAATCTGACCTCATCATGTGTATAACTTGCTGTAAATAATATACCCTACGGTATTTTATGTTGATTTTCTTCAAAATAAGGTTTAAACGTGTTTTATGATTAACTATTAAATCATGTATTACAACTACTTTTTCTATTTTTCTTTATAAAATTTAATTAGTTTTATAGTGAACACGTCTTTAAAAGCGGAAGATATAAAATCTACTTTTCTACGTTTATCATTGTAACAAACTATATAATTAATCTTAAACTTTATACATTGAATAATTCACGATCATTAGTTGATACATATTACGATCCCATTGTTCAGCGAGATGTTTTACAGTTATGTAATCAAAGCCGCAAATCCCACGCTGTCGATCTAGGTCACGAGTGTACCAGGCACCTGTGGACATAAACAAAGCAAGTGTTTGTGATTGTATTAGACCATTGTGTAGAAAGACCTAACAATTAATAGAAAACTGTGTTTTTAATTACATCGCGATTCAATAAGATTATTTTACCCATCTTTCATATTTAATCGTAATTCCAAACACTGGTGCATAAAATCATTTTGAACTGTGTTCGCTTTCTTTGGCCTGTTCTCGCAAAATAAACAAAGCAAGTGTTTGTGATTGTATTAGACCATTGTGTAGAAAGACTTAACAATTAATAGAAAACTGTGTTTTTAATTACATCGCGATTCAATAAGATTATTTTACCCATCTTTCATATTTAATCGTAATTCCAAACACTGGTGCATAAAATCATTTTGAACTGTGTTCGCTTTCTTTGGCCTGTTCTCGCAAAATAAAAAAAACTCTATTCTGTGTTAATGTATTTTATTTCAATTGTAATTGAGAAGGGGCTTCGGCAAATAATTATAATGAGGGATGGATAGTGATAGGTAATATTGTATATGTACGTTTTATTTTTACCATGATCACTCTTTAGTTTCTCCATTTACCGGGGTTTCATTAAATAAACATTGAACATAAAAAGTAATTTATAATATACTATTGTTCACGTATTTGTAATACCGGTATAGCAAACAGGTTATATCCAGCTTTGTCACTTTGTGTCTAAAGTTGTGTTGCCCGGTCCTCGTTTACAAGCACGTGGTTGCAGAGAACAGTGGGCATATATGAAAATCCATTGTGTACTCCGATAGTTACAAATGGAAAATTGGGTTTAAAATATGTCGTTTCTTTCATATCATTTCATTTCACTCTATTTCAGCTTGTTTAAATCAATCGTAATCGCTCGATTTATTCATTGTAAGTTTTATGTATTTTGATAGCCGAATAAACACTAGCTTGGTTTGCAATACCCCCCCCCCCCCTGTTTTTATGGAGGTGGATATTGTTTTATGAATATTAAACTTACATGTACGCATGCATGGTAGTGAAAACATCCAACGTTAAATTAAGCACTTTTGAGTATGCAGTTATTCGCTACTAAACTTTAAAATGTTATTGTACAAAAATAATATACTTTTTCGTTGAATCAACATTGCACGATTTGACATGCTTGTACATGTTCAGTCGATGTCAGTATAAATATACATGAATGCACTTTTGCCTAGAATAACGGTCAAAATATATACATCCAGAGTTTAAGAATACGATTTTTAAAAAATTGAAAATTCGTTAATGCTATTTATCATTAACCAGTATCTCGACGATAAAACATCAATTTTAATTCTTTACCAAACGTCCTCCCGGTCAGTCATTGTTAATGTTGGTGACATGAAATGTAGATACTATAGGGTCTCAGTAAATAATTTCACCTTAATTATCCTCATCGTCATTCGGTGTTTTCATCATTAGAAATAAATTGTTTGGGGACGTCTTGTTTTCTCTTCTCACATTGCTAACGCGTAGGAAAAAGTTTTTAAACAAAGCAAACGGCATTTTACAAAAAAGGAAAACGTGAAGAAAAAACGTGTCTATTTAGATTAAAAACACAACGCATCAATTTGTATTTGATTAATCCACATACGTTTTTTTTCCTTCTCCCATGCATTTCGACTATACGGAAAAAAAAGGATCAGCAAATCCTTTGGTAATATTAAAAGAAAGGTGTTGTACCTTCAAAAGACACTATATCCCACAGGCATTTAGATTGCTTAGAAAAAAAATTGTGTGTATTTTTTTTCCAACACCTCAATTTTTGTTTTCTAAGCGATCTAAAGGCCTGTGCTATATCCGAACAGTTATTACAGAGACTACCAAATATATCACGGCGTCCCTGAAAGAATTATTTTTAAATATTTCAATAAATTCTAATTTAGTTCAAAGAAAGCCACGCTGTTGTATACAAACATTCCAAAAATAATCTTTCATGTTTCATGGACCGACACGTGGTTAAATTTCCTCTCATCACTATAAGTACCCCCCCCCCCCTTTAACATGTTTAAAATGAATATACAATGTCTTCCTTCTGAGCCGAGAATGTTAGTTGGTTGATTTGTTTTTGTACATGCGCATATACATGTAGATTAAGGCTGGTGTTGAATTCCGAAAGAAAGTCACAACCTATTTTTTTATGTAAACCACTAATCATTCTATGCCCCGCCATGAATATGGCTTGGGATATAATGTTTGTCATGTCGGACGTCTTCCATCCTGCCTTATCTCCTTCCGTCACACTTTGCCTTTAGCTAAGTTCAAAGCTCAGTTTCAAACAAACTAACCAAGATATTTTTAAAAATAATCAAACTTCATACACAGTATAGCTGCAGAAAAAAAAAAAAAAACAGACAGGAGAGTTGTACTGAGCCACCCACTGAAAAAACCGGTCCTACTAAACAGAGTACGCTAGTACATATAAGACTTTAGAGTAAGCTAGTAATAACTGTATATTTATTGCGGAAAAGTTTTTGAAATATTTCTTCAAACTGAAAGCCTTTTATTGCCTGACGTCACGCTAAGGATCAATAGGGTTCGAAGAGGTCACAGTTAGCCAGCAAAATTTTGTGCATGCTGATTATCATCGGATTTGTTACATGCATTTCAGCAACAACAGTTATCTATTCTGTTAGCAGAAAAATAAACTTATTGCTAATACAATACATTGAAGTATTTATTTTCTCTAGCCTTTTGCTAGCATATATTAATTTCATGCGAGTTCTTATACGGATATATGTCCGTTTGACCTTTTTTTCTGCGTTTCTATACTACTGGATTAGTCCATTTGTCTTCTAGGTAAGGGGTGACGCTATTATTTCGCGCCAAAATGTCACGTGTAGGTTTTTGCACCCTTTTTCTGGACTATTCTATTGAATGAAAATGAAAACTGCATGAATTATGTAAAGTCTGTTCTTTTTTGTCAGAATCCTGGTCGAGCTTTGGAAAAAAAAAAAAAACAATTCGGTGACATTGTGAAGTGAGTTAGAAGTTACATCATTTAAAGTAATAAAACATTTGATGTTGATCCCTCATCTCTGGGAAAAACTTCCTGAATCCGGGATGTTGCTAAAACGCGGAACGGAAAACGGAACGGAAAGCGGAACGGAACGGAAAACGGAAAATTAATGTCAAGCAAATAACCTATAGATTTGATGTAAACCACACATAAAAAGCAATATTCATAAGTAAAAGGCACCTCTAATGAAAATTTATTGTGAAATACGATATATTCATGAATCTAATGCACCCCTTCGAACTGGCACATGAAAATGCGAGGGTCAATAAATGTAGTCTGTGAGATTTGTACTAACTAGACTCAAATCCAGTGTCCATCTGAAGGTTTCGTTCAAATTATTTTTTTTAAGAAAGCTCAGCTCAGGGCTTAACCCCCCCCCCACTTTTTTTCCCAAATATAAACTTAGTATAGACTTAGCCCCCCCCCCCCCCCCCCCCCCCACTTTTTTTCCAAAGATATACTCAGTATAGACAATGAACATTGCTTCGTTGGTTTAGCCCCCCCCCCCCCACTTTCCACAGACACGTCGCAGTATAGGTTTGAAATGGGGAAAAGGTGGTGTTTGGAAAAAAAAATTGGTACTGAAGTTAGAATTTAACCCCCTCCCCCCCCCCCCCCCCCCACCA